AAATTATTTATTTATTCAGTCTGTCTAGGATCCCATTCACAGTCCTTCTATTCAACTTCGTTTTGGCATTTTATATTCTTCTCATACTGAAGTTTTTTTTGAGAATGTTCGCCATCACACACCAGATGGCAGTGTGTGAATTCCTTCCTAGTACAAAATGTAAATAAAACATTCCCATTCAGTGATTGTGGTTACTACTCTGAATATATAAGCAAAACCTCTTTACAATATGCACAGAGAATCTGCACTTTTCAAAATAGTCTATGTAAGCATTTCCAGACAAGGCAAAACAAAAACATATAAAACTATATATGTCTGACAAAGTGGATTAATCCATTATTAATCACATTGGAATATAAATGTTAATCTTTAATATTAATATTTAATTATCAAATTATAGTGTTTTGTGTTTTGTTTTTTATTTTGTTTTGGATGTCTGGCTAAAACAATCTGCAGGCTCATGAATGTCCCCAGTCAAACTTAATCCCTCCTATATCTGATGTCAAAATAATACTAAATGCCTCTGATATACATAGTAGTTGCACATGACAGCATGTGCAAGAAAATGTATGGAAATATGAAATGTACACATCCGTGTAATTTTTATTCTGCACAAGGATGGAGCTGTAGGAGTATGGAATGGAACGTGGAATGTTTCCTTTTTGAAGCTGTACTGATTACATTTCAGATGACTCACAAGTGTACAGAAAACCAGTATGCCCATCACAGGCAGCTCATAACTGGAATATACTGGGCATAAGATAAGAATGAAGTGCTCCGGTGGCTAAATTCAGGAAATCTGCACAGAATCTCTAATTGGTCACCAGAACTAGAGGGAAAGTGTTCATTCATAGGTGTATGAAAATGCATATTGGCCTTTACATACAAAGTAAGGAACTGTACAGCTAAAACAGAAGAGGGAAAGTAGCTGAATTGCATAATATTCTTTTGTCGTCTCCCTCATGTTACCTTTCCTCACCAGCCCTCAGCAATCTTTTTATTGTATTCTCAGTAGCTTGTCTCTACTTATCACTGTAGTCTATTGTGCACACCACAAAACCTGTGTAAGTATTAAATAATAATAATAAAGTGATGAGATTGTAGTAGGCACCACTTTAAATAATATATTAGGTGACAAAACATTCCTTCCTTTGCTTTTCGGACTCCAACAGAACAGTTTGTGGGAAAATGGCATCGTTATTACCACCACCTCTTCAAAGTGTATTTCCTAGCTTCAGAATATACAGTATTCACAAACTGAAGTAGAAGTTCCACATTAGCTTTTCACTGAAATTTAGAAGTTGCCTGAATTTACAAGGAAGGAATAACATGGATGATTTCTACATCCCGCTGATGAATAACACTGGAGATGCTATTGTTTTGTCCCATCCTATCTGTGTTAAAGTGATTAATCCCTTGGGCTTTTAAAAATATACACTATACTGCTTGAAGAGACAAGAGTGGAGCAACTTTTTATCTCCAAGGTCTATCTTTTCCAGGGAGTAAAATGTCAGGAGTGAAGCTAGACCATGTAGGGTAAGATGGGGGTTCCCTTTACACTTTCACTCTACCCCTTAACCTCAGCGGTTTTCAACCATATTCTCCCTGAGTGTTTGCTGCCCATCTGGTACTGCCTTAGAGTGCACAGTTCTCTCATATTTCTCATCTCTAGAATTCTGGACTACAGAATCAGTAGGTTAAGAACATATGCAGAGCACTATCTGGTGTCTCTGAAATGCAGGAAAGTTCAGTGGTTTAGGTATGTGGCTGCAGATCCATAGATTAGGACTTCAATTCCCATTGTGCATTGATGGGGGCTGGACTTGAGGATCCATAGGGTCCTTTCCAGCTCTGCAGTTCTAAGATGATGGTGGTGGTGGTGGTGATAGTGTTTTGTTCCCACAGTCGCCAAGCAGTTGGCAATGAGAAGCAGAGAGCAGCACTTTCTGTTAGCATTTACAAGCGACAGGCACCAAAAAGTATACTGCCACTGATACTGCTGGCAATATATAGACGTCATGGTTATTAATCACTGACAGCGTATCTACTATGGATTTCCCTAATCCCGTTTTAATGTCATACAAACAGGTGGACATTTATTTATTTATTTGAAATACTTATATGCTTACACCACCATTAATTAATTACAGGATGGTGTACAATATTAAATATAAGTGCAAATGCAAACATCCAAAGCAAAAACTCATTTTTCAGTTTTTCTGACCTCTTTTGTTATGGCATTTGATAATCTGACCATTAACACCATGTGAAAAAAAAACAGTTGCTGTCATCTTTCCTAAATCTGAGATTATTCAGTTGCATTGTACAATCTCAGGTTCTGGTATTATGATTAAGGGAGAGAGAAACAATTCCTGGCTGCTTTCTCTATAACTTACATAATTTTAGTAATCTCTACCGACTCTCATCATTTCAACTCTTTCCCTTTAAATTCAAAAGTCACAACTATGTAGCTCTTCTTCATATGGGACTTTGTCCAGGCTGTTAAATATCTGGTTTGCCATTTTTCCTGCCTCCTTTCTGTTTCCTAATCATCCCCAACATGAAATTTCCTCTTTCCCACTGCCCACTGGATCAACTTTTTTTATTCAGCTGTCACAACTTTGAGATCCAGATTTTCTGGTAAGTAGCTTAAAGGAACTGAAATGTATTAAGTGCTTTCAAAGGGCATTTATATAAGGAAGACAAAACTTGTCCAGAAAGAGCCACAAAATAACATCATGCAGGGAACTACACGTTCACCTCAGCAAGTTAAACTTGCCCTGTTAGATTATGGGACATGCTGGGACACATCAGACCCTGGAGGACAGAGTACTTTTTTTTTTTTACTCTTACAAGTAAAGGCATGTTTCTGGGTCCACACATGATAAATTATGAGGCAGAGAGAAGCCACAGATTTATTTGCTGTCCGGCATTTCAAAATTATATCAGAATGTGATGAAAGCATTCTGTGGCGGCATCAGCCCATGTCCTTCCCGACTTAGCTTGGTCAGGAGAGCAACACAAGGGACCTCTATGATAGTCAGTGAAACAGACCTGGGTCTCTTGAGAGGTATTATTCAGAGTTGCTTAAAATGAGTGCAAAGATGAATTTCAGAAGATGGAATCCCCTGTGGTGTAAAAAGAGATGATTCAAAGAACTAGTGCGACATACAGTTATGACTCAGGAGTCTGCCACGTTTTCTGATACTTGAATGATTCATAACTTCAGCTTATGAGAATTACTTTAGGAGCTTTTTCTGTAGCCCTGAGATACAAGAAGAAATAACTGCTGTTTACAAAGAAACTGATGGATGATTTACTACTGTTAAGCTCCTCGTTGTTCATGAGGGTAAAGCACTATAGCTTTTACCCTATGAAACAACTTTTTAAGGGGGGAGGTATGTAGCAAACAGCCCTGCCCTCACCTGTCTGTCACAGCTGAGCAGTGGAGAAGGAACCAATGGAGAAGGAACCACAGCTGAGCAGTGGAGAAGGAACCAATGAGTGGACGGAAGGCGGTGCCAAGGGGGGAGGGGGCTGGATATAAAAGGCTGGTGTATGGAGTATGGGGGGAATTTATTCTGTGAGATTCTGGTAGTGAGAGATTCTGGTAGTGAGAGACTGTGTGAAACTTAAAAGTATACTAAGAGTGAGTGAGAGATCTGTAAGGAAGCTGAATGGAACAGAGAGTTGATAGAGCTTTAAACTTAAAGTAAAATTGATTCAGATTCAAGTGATTAGCAACCTGTGATTTATTTACCGAATATTAATCATATGTTAGCTTCCCTGATCTAATAAATGAGTTAAGTTTCAAAAGTACACATGTCTCCTTGAGTGAGTGGTATTGAGACAGCAATACCTGGTGGCAGAGAAGAAGGAAGAAGAGCGAGAACCTTGTGAAGGCCTGGGGGAATAGGGGCTTCAGAGGAGATCACCACAATTCCTTTGGATTCTTCAGTGAAATGAATGGTGGTGAACTTTTTCTCCCCTCAAGGATCAGAGATAACAGAGTTCTTCTAATGGTAAAGCCAAGTAAGACAGTTATAAAGTCTTTCAAGATCTTGAAAGGAGTTTCCCTATTCATTTTATATTGAATGTAAAGGGATTTACTTCTCATTCAATGCATTGAGATGCCTATAATCTTATCTTATTGCTGAGATCCTGAGAACATCTGATGAAATCAGTACACATGGTCTAGCCAAAGCAGTTCCAAGACCCAATGATTTAATAATGTGACTCTTAAACAAACAAGCAAACAAACAGAACACATCCTGCTTTGGTAGCTTTTTGAATTTGTAATATTCCCCTGTAAAGTATGGGGCCTGAGCAGCACATTAGTTTAAGGATAGTCAATGTCTGATGCACATTGCCCTAGTTTTGAAATAAGACTAGACAGCTCTATGTCGGGCTTGTCCTTTCTCATTATTTCAAAAATGTTCGCTGCCTCCTTTTTCCCCGCACAATAAAGGAAAGAAGCCTTATAATCACCTCTTTCCCAGCACAGCCTAGCGGGAAGCACCAATTGGTGCCCCCACCTGCCTGTCTCAGATCAGGAGAGGCAGGCAAATAGTCCCTGCTGGTGTGTGAATCCATGCCAGTGGAGGTATACATTCCCATTATTTCAAAAGTGTTAGCTGCCCCCTGTTGCCCCACAACATCTCACAACAATCCTTCTCCTCTAGATTCAAGGTGTGGGTTCATTAATGTGTAAGCAGAATGGAACCCCTTGGGAAGGTTCATATTACTGCTTCTGCTGCTACTTCTTCTTCAAGATACACAGGGCCCAACTGAGTTTGCAACCTCAGGCCATGACATATGGTTTCCATCCTCCCATTTCTAGCACTTGTTGGGCCCACCAGCAATCCATTCTGAAGGAGACACACCAGATCGGTCCCACAGCAAAAACCCATGTAGGCAGAAGATCACTTTTAGAAGGCTATAAACCATTCTAAGTTTATTTAACGCTGTAGTGAAGAACTCATATTAAAAGTAGTTCTCACCTGCTTGTTCATGAGAATATAGATGATTGGATTGTATACAGTACTGCTCTTTGCCAGGATGGATGGGATGATACTTGCTACGGGGGACACCAAGCCTGGCCTACCAAAGGTAGCAAGGAGTGCTATAACACCATAGGGCATCCAGCAAACCAGATAGCAGATGATAGTTGTGATCACCATGAAGAGCACGTGGAACTCTCTTTTGCGGGCAGCCGTCTTCCGGATTTTCCCAACCTGGCAAAAATCACATAACAACTTATTATGAAAAGATTTTTCAATAATACATTTTATTAGAAACAGTAGGTACTCTTTGTAGTTCAAATGAAAAGTCGGATCATTGTTCTTTTAAGTCAAGTACCAGCTTAGTGGAGAATTTATTTAAACAGATAAGATCTTCATATCATATTATCTTTTTATATTTCACACTTCTGACCACCACTGAAATCTGAGCATTCAGGTTTAGGTCTGAATCCAGAAGTGAAAAAACAAAACAAAACCCAGAAACCTGAGTCTTCAAGGGGAGTGCAATTTCAACACCAGTTGTATTCCAATATTTGGTCTGCTATATCAATGTATTTAAATGGATTAACTTTTTCATTTTTACCCAGTCCACTACTGGCATAAGACACTGAGGCCGTTTAATGGAGTACTGTCCATTTCTAAAAGTCCAATTACAGCAATGTTCGTATTTCAAAAAGCACTGGCAACTAGATGTAGCACACTAGAAGCATGCCTTTCACAGGTGGCGACCATAATCATAATCTACTTCAACTATAAAGACAGATGGCCTTTCATTTACCCTGGGCTAAATACTACAGCTATGTAATCCAGTGTTATCCAAAGCTCTTATAATTTCCCATCTGCTTTACATTCAGTTACACTGCAATTCACTCTTATTGCTATCTTATTCCACACAGACAAAAACAATGCCTCTGTTTCTCCTTATATTTCATTCTGAGCACAGTTTCTAGACCGTTGTATTTTAATGTACTGTATTCTCAAAGGCTTTCACAGCCAGGATCCATCTCAAGTATCCCACACATTACACCAGAACACAGACAGAGTTCTAACTCCTGTCCTCTGAAGATGCTGGCCACAGAGACTGGCAAAACGTTAGGAAGAAAAACCTCCAGAAAAGGGCCAAACAACCTGAAATCCTAGAACAACCGTTGTATTTTAATTGGGTCACAATTCAGCCAAAGATGGGGCATACCAGAGGCTTTAAGCACCTTCAGAATTACTCACTGCTTTTATAAAAGGTATCAAAATGCATCTTTTTAATTTGAAAAAAAATCAGTAGTTTTACTGATGGTTTACAATGCTTTTGATGGGTTTTTTAAAAAAGTAATATTTTAGTATTCTCCCTTGTATGCTCCCCTTGCTTGTTTTTTGGGAGCAAGGTGATGCATAAATGTAAGTAAATTAAGCCATAAACTGGAGAAAGAAAAAAGGGTGCACATGATTTTATTTTAAAACATTTAATATAGTATGAGCTTTCATGGGCTATAATCTACATCATCAGATACATGGAATCTAATCTGCAATTTGGGATGCATGCACAGAGCACATCTCGCATAAGATGCTTCACATCTTATAGGTCCATGCTTCTTTAAACTGCCTGGGGTAGGAGCCACAAGGGATCACATGTAGTCCAGAGAGTCTTCCACCTTCTCCACAACCTCCACACTCACCACAGCAGGTTTGTTTACATCAGGTTCATAGATGGCACCGTGTCATGACTATTTGTTTCATTCCTAGGCCACCTATATATGCTCTGAGGCCAGAAACCACAGAAAGCACCAGTGGAGACAAAAGCATTTTTACTGTTGGCCACTCAGCAAAATGTCCACAGAATTACTGCCATATTAAAAAAAAAAAATAACAATGTAGCCTCGCTTGTTCATGAATTCAGATAAAATCTGGGTTTATTCAGCTTTGTCAGTTTTATTATACTGAGTATGTGTGCTGATCAATACCTATATTCTTTTTTGCACTATCATGTTGCAGGGGCACGATTTCATAGCTCGTGAGTAGACAGTAATGGTTGGATATTAAGATGTATGTTGCAGTCATGCTGATGATCATGTTATTGTGTGAAAGCGTATTGGACGAAGGATCACTCTAAAATGATACAGGAATCAGAATTTCAGGATGAAGGTTCAATTAAACACATTATTTCAGACAGAGTTCTTTTTTCCTGCATTTTACTTGAATTTTCATTGTGAGAAACAGAGGCTGATGACTCTTCATTGCCTATTGATTTAACAATGGAATACCATATTCATTTTTTTCCTCTTACAATTTATGAAAAACATTTTTAAAAGACTTCTCAGAGGGCTTATTACTGATGTTGTTCACCAGGCCTCAGGTAATGCTCTCAGTGTCTCACATTTTACAGTGAAATAGTTTTCCCCTCTTCTGTGTGTTCTGTGCCATCAAGTCAGAATTGACTTACAGCGACCCTAATAGGGCTTTCAAGGTAAGTGAGACATTTGAGGAGTGGATTTGCCAGTTCCATTCCCCCAGTGAGTTTCTATGTCCGAGTGTGGATTTGAACCTTGTTCTCCAGAGTCCTAGTCCATCCCTCTATCTACTACACCAGAGGTCCCCAACCCCCCGTCTGCGGCCTGGTGCCAGTCTGTGGCCTGAGCCGGACCGGGCCACTGAGACAGACCTCCCGCCCCACCAACCACACACACTCACCCCCGCACAGCTCGTTTGCACCTACATGCATGCGCCAGCATGCCCATGTGAGCACCGTGCCACCCTTTGCACAAACAGTGGCATGGCACTCATATGGGCGTGCACACTCGTGCAAGAGAGAGAGAGAGTGTGAGCTTGTTCGCGCATGTGCCCATCTTCCCCAGCTGGTCCACGGACCGAAAAAGGTTGGGGACCGCTGTCCTACACTACACTGGGTATCCCTCTTCTAGTCATATTAAAAATAACTAATAAAAGGTAGTTTATTCATACAAAACAAACAAATGAGCACTTTTGTGCCAAGCCTTCTTTTGAGCCTTTATTTTCTTTTATTGGAATGATTGTCTGTTTTTGTGGGATTAGTTATTTGCTAGGGCCATCACCAAACACAGCAGAGATGAAAAATCCACAGTCATGAAAGGAGATGGCAGTCTTTTGAATATCTGTCATTTAAAACCTTCTAAAGACAAACAGGAGGGGTAAAATAAGGGAAATTAATACAACAGAGGAAATGAAATCCAGGGAAGCTAGTAAGCCCAAAAAGCTTTGCAGTGGAGGATGCATCATTAGAAATTAAATATTGCCACATCTAGGCTCTCTCAATAAGAAGCTGGAACATATCTTGCCCATCAAGAAACTGCCCACAACTTTCACTTCTCCCTCCCTCCCTGCCATTTGCCAAATGTCCTTCCTTCCCAGTGAGTCTGCAGCAAAGGGTTATTTATAATGGGCTGGGGCAAAAGCTTAGACAACAAACGCTCTCCCCACTCCCTCACAACTCAAAAGCACCTGTGGCTGTGAACAGTTTCTCAATCAGCAATACAAAAATCCTTATCTTAACAGAAGTATCACTTCAGAAATTATCTAGGAGATGTAGGAAAAAATAATTTCACTTCCCCTGACCCTGCACAGACTATCAGAGCAAGCATTTAATTGACAGCAGAAGCCAAAGTGCCATCCGGATAAGAGGAGCACACCAAAGGACACATCACTCCTTCCCCGCTGTCCCAACCGGCACTTCTAACCCCAACCCAGCCCTCACCAAAATGCCCAGTCTGGACAGACCCTTAGATGTCAGGAGAGAGAGCAGAAGAACCTCTGAGCTCTATGTGATACCCCCTCATGGCTCCTATCCAAAAGTAGTGAACAAAAGTGCATCAAAACCCAGAGGATATAATACATCTTACCCACAATATTTGAATCTGGCCCTATTCCCGGCCTTTGGGGTTTGGAAGTCTTTGGATTTATGGAAATATGATGCAGGGAGCATAAAAAGAATAGTCAACCTATGGTTGGTTGAGCTGAGGGTCCAATCCCCTTACCATATACAGCTTATTCAGTCCAGAATAGTTTCTCTGATTGGATAGGAAACTATGTATTCCCCATCTTCAATCTTACTCTTTACGTTAAAGGCTCATAGACCTGCATAGGTCTTCCAGTACCAATCTCCAAACTATCCCATCCTCTTACAAAGTGACCCTAACAAAACAAGGACTATATCTCACCTCGTACTTTGATTTGCTTTTGACAGTTAAAACACATCCTCTTGGCCATTTCTCACAAGAGCGCTCAGATTTTACTTGACAAGTTTACCAACTCATAATATCAAGCACACCCCACAGCACTTTCACATTTTATTTTCCACACACCTCATTCAATTCGCACATTTTCAGACCAGCTGGAAAGCTGTGATAAATGTTAGCTAAAGCAGTACCCTGCCCTTTTTATACCAGTAATACCTATTAGAATAGCACAGCCTGAACCAGATAGATATAATAGGTACTCAAGATGTCGGCTGTGGGGCTTGTTTTTTCTTTATCCTTCTTTTTTGTAATTGTGCCACTGCCCGCTCTCAGAACTGCAAAAGCTCCTGATGCACATGACAAAAACCATAAAAACATAGGCTATGGAACATAAAACATATAGCGATAAAAGAGAAATATGCAGAATGAACAACAGCAAAAGATTATATACCTGACAGAATATAATTGAAATTGTGACTAACCATTACCTAACCAGGATGAGGGCTGCTAGTCGAGCTTACTTCACTGTCCGGATGAAAGAAGCTTCAAATCAGCAGGCAGAACTTTTCCATATAGTACGCGATCTATCCGGAATTGGTCACAGTGATAGGCCTCCCACTAACATTTAACCTGACCAATTTGCAGCATTTTAAAAATCTAAAGTGGAGGCCATTCATTGGGATCTATCTCCTTTTTTGAATACAGTAGATCAAGCAGAGATGTCCAGCGCTCCGCCTTGCCCGATGTGACTTAGTTTCTTTCAGCCTGTGACGCCAGATATGGTGGACAAAGTGCTTGATCGCTGTCGAGCCACCACCTCCTCCCTTGACCTTTGCCTGGTCTGGCTAATCAAAGCAGCCAGTCCTGTAACAACTGAATGGGCCATTGCAATAATTAATGGGTCTCTCCAGGAGGGCAAGGTTCCCCTTGCCCTCAGGGAAACACTCATTAGGCCCATTAGGAAGAAACCAAGTTTGGCAGCGGAGGACATTGGCAATTATAGGCCCATCG